CACATCTGGACAGAGCAGAGAGCAGAGAGAGTAGAATCCGGCTGCCCAGATGGATTTCTACTTTCCCCATTTTATCCAGTCTGAGACTCCATCCTACACATTCAGGGTGGGTATTCCTCCCTCAGTTAAATCTCTTTGGAAACTCCCTCAAAGGCATGCCCAGGTATCTCCTGGAAAAAAAAAAATTAAACTCACTGTCATACCAAAGATGGTCTATATTTTCTTGTATGACAGTTTCTCTGGTTTTATGTTTGACTTATGGGTCTCCCTCAGTGTTTTAGATGTGGAAACCCAAGCTTCAGTACCTCTTGTTGAAAAGGCCATTTTTGCACCAACGATTCCCTTTGCTTCTTTACCAAAGCCCTGCTGGAAAATCCTGTTTTTCCAGTAAACAAATACAGAAAATAGTATCGCACTGGTTACTGTGGTGGTGAATATTGGCCGCTCGATGGGACCTGGAATCGATTCAATAACACACCTTCTGGGTTGGTTTCCCGTCCTCAGTCAAGCTTCTTCGAGAATTCTCTCCTGAGTAATTCTAAATCAAGTCAGGTTGACGAATGAAGGTTAACCACTGTAAATAGCAACGATAGCTGCCTCTGCCTCCCGAGTGCTGGGATTAACACCCAGCATTTTCTTTAATTTTTTAAGATAGGAATTCATGTACCCTTGGCTGGCCTTGAACTTGCCACATAGAGGGAAATAATCATGGAACTTCTGGTCATCCTACTTTTTTTTGGGGGGGGGGAACCTTTTAAACTTGCTGTGGAGTGGGAAATAACCTCGAACTTCTAGCCATCCGACTTTTACCACCACCACCACCACACACACACACACACACACACACACACACACACACACACACACACACACACACACACACACACACACACACACACACCTGTGTTTTTGGAAAGACAAAACTAGTCATGTCCTTAAGGTCCATAAAGAAGCACGCCTTCCTTTGCGCGCCTACCCCGATTGGCCAGCAGGGGGCTCTCTGACCTTAAGAACCAATCTTTCCATACAGCCACGTAGGCTCCAGAGCCAAACAGTCAGCCACCACCCCACAGCCCTAACCCCTTGCTGGAGGTTAGGCTCCTGACATAACTACTGCCCCCAAGTCACTTAACCTTCCTAAAACCTTTGTGACATAGGTACTATCCTCTCCACTTATGAGGGAGAGAGGGAGGCACAAAGAAATTAAATAGCTTGTATTAGGTCGGTAATTTAAATGTGCAGGGTCACGGAGTTCATGAGTGATGAGGCCCTGCCCTGCATGTGAGTCTGTGAAACCATCTCAAATGATAGGACCCCAGAGGATCAATACGCAGCAGCAGCAGCAGCAAGTGTGGGCCATGGAGCAGGGTTCAGAACCAGCCTAGCCCAGAACTCTAATTCTAGGAGGTTGAGAGCCAGAGGGTCTTGATCTTTAGAGGCAGAAGTCTGCTCAGCTATGAGGCTGTAACCAGGCCTCTCCTGGAAGAAACCTTACATCTGGAACAGACCTAGAGGGAGGGTGTCTGAAGGAAGGGTGCAGAGCGAGAGCGTCATCTGAGGGGCTGCAGGAGGCAGGCAGGGGGCAATTCCTGCCGGAGGGATCGGGGCAGATGCTGCGGGGCGAAGTGTAAGCAACAGAGGACACCTGCCTGTGTGGTGGTCAGTGTAGAGGGCTCCCACCGTGTCAGTCTCGGGCTGTCACAGCTTTCCGGAAAAGGTGAATGTGTTAACTGGAAATGCAGAGACGTAGGGTATCTCCACAGGGGCTGGACGCCATAAGAAGTTTCTGGAATTACGATAGTGGGGTTCAGCCAGAGAGGTTTTCTGTCTTTTAAACTGAAGATAACGAGAGATTCTCAAAGAGCTGACTGGAAAAGAAATTATCAGACATGAAGTTCTAGGGTGGGGCGTGACCTACCCAGGGCCCATAGCTGTTTCAGTCTAAAGGGAAAGTTGTTGTCACTGTAGGACAGGGTGACCTCTTGGGCTGTCATTGTGTTGGGGTGCTGGCCTTGTGCTGACTGACAGCCTGGACCGCCTCCTGAAATGCATTAGCCCTGAAACCATAGATAAGTCTCTGTGCTTGGCCCCTTGCCTAGCTCCCTCTCTAACATGACTCATCGAAGACAGTCTAGAATTTTTGTCAGACTCTTTGATAAGCCTCCAAGGTCCAGCTAAGGAAACTGCTTGGTGAGATTAACGTGAAACCAAAAACATAGTGAAGTTAACAGACCTGTCCAGGACACCACTCAATACAGGTTACACTGAGTCTCCAACCAACTCAGGGACGAGCTTACCCCTCGGGCAGACACTGAGGGGAGAGGGCACTCTTGCTTAGCGAATGCCCTCAGCAGCTTGGGAGCTGGGTAAAGGGTCAAATACAGAGAAGCTCATTATTCATGGTTCCAGGGACCCCCAAGGATACGCTGTTCTGTGGAAGCTTCAGCCCCCTGTGTAAAACAGCATGTTGTTTTGACTGTAACCTAAACAGCTCTTCCTACATGCTGATCATCTTCTCTGGATTGTTTCTCCTCCCTCAGATCACATGGATGAGAGATGAGGGACCCACAAAGCCTGTCCCTGCTCAAAATTAAATATAGTTTTTCCCAATGTTTTCTAAGTTCAGTTGGATGAATCTGCAGCTGGGGTATCTGTAGACCATGGAGGGTTGATAGCGCCATAGCTCCCTAGCACAAGCAATCAGATAACAGCACATAGCTGAGAAAGGAGCCATAAATTCCCACCAAGGTAGCCAGGGAAGAGTCCAGAGATAAGCAGCCATCTTGTCTGGGTGTTAGGAGTTGAGTCCCAGGTTGAATATGGACAAGGGCAGCCAGCTAGGTCAGGATCAAGTAATAATGTGAAGACACGAGAACTGAGACTGTGGATAGCGGGGTCGATCTCACAGATATCAACCGAAACCTAAGGAGGGTGGTGTGGACAGAGCAGGCTTGGGGCCGGAACAGTGTGGGTGGCCTAGGTACCCAGCAGGTCTGGGGTCAGGGAGGCCTCTCTGTGTCTGCTGAAAGAGGACAGATGAGACGAAAGTGGGAGGCAGGAGCCATGGGTCTCAGGGGCAAAGCAAGAGGTGAGTCCCAACTAGGTAGAAAATGTGAATCTTAGGAACCCTGTCTTGGGTGGATCTTGGGTGTGTTTAAAAAAAAAAAAGTGTCTGTTTGCAAAGGAGATACTGTCAGAAGTTTCTTTCACTGGCTCTGAGTATTAAATAAGATGCTATATAGAAAACTGTTGACTGTCACTGACATAAAAAAAAAAAAAAGTCTCAACACATTATTCTACCTGAGCCATTGAAAAGATGCCTCTGTGCAGTTTCCATATTCGCACACCTTTGCTCCAAGGCCAAGGGCAGAGTAGCATGGGGTGGGGAAGATTACAAAATGCTATCGGGAAGACCTAGGGAGATGGCTCGGTGGATAAGAATGCTTTCTGCACAAGCATGACGGCCTTAGGTTCTGATCCCCAGAGCCCGCATAAAACCTGACGTAGCCATCCACACACATGCTTATAACCCCAGCCTCGTGGGGGCAGAGACGGCAGGATCCCTGGGTTTGGCTGGCTGCCGGCTGAGCTCCAGCGGAATCTTGGCTCTGGGGAGTAAGAAGGGTGCCCGACATCCGGGTGCACACACCTGCACACACATACACGCGTACAGCACACACAACACATAGAAGTCAACAAATAAACGGGTGAGCGTTTAAGGCGAAGGTGATGTTCTACACTTTTATTGAGACAGTCTTAACTCATCAAGATGTAGAACTATGAAATTATTTTCGTTGCTACTCCCTAACTGCTACTGTTAGGAGTCATAACATAAATGTGTGCTTTCTGTGGGTCTTAGAGGACTCTTGGGTAAAGGGTCACTCGGAAGCGACCTCCTCCCCTGGGACAGGTCAGAACTCCTCCCTCTCCCTCCCCCGGAAAGGGGTTGAGAACCACTGGGCTAGGAAGAATGGACCATTCAAGGGCGACAGTCTCTTAAGCACATCTACAAAGGGCCGAAACGAGGAGGCTGCCCACCTAGAAACCCAGGTCAGGCCACTGTCACTCACATGTATGGATGTCTCCAGCAGCGCAATGGGCTTACCTGGAGGGACCTGGAGATGTGGGGATGCAGATCACAGCCTTGATGTGGATGATGACGTAAATAAGTGCTCTACACCTTCATCCTTTCACGGCATTCCCTTTACCCTCACAGCACTCCCCCCTGAGGCCGTAAGCAAAGAGAAGAGGCAGGCACCCTGAGAAGTGCTTGAATTCTGGTACCAAAACCTTGCTCTGTTGCAGTTCCTTGTGCCAGCTGGTGGCCTGTAAAGACTAGCTGAGTCTTCTGGACTTTGGGTTGACTCAGTATGTGCACACACAGCCAGACACCAGACAAGCAGCATGAGAGATGGGGCACTTACGCAATCATGATCTGGTAATTTATTCTGTCTGGTGAATAAGCAGCCACCACAGTTAGGATAAGCAAACTCTTCACGTGTGTATGGATATACGTGTGTGCGTGCATAAAAACAGATTTCAAAGAACTGGCTTAGCTGTGGCTGATGGGTGTAGAGTTCTCAGGGCCTCGGTCAAGTATGGATGGATGCTCAGAAGCTGGTACTGTGGTTGGGAGACAGGATTTCTACTCAGGGAAACCACAGTATAATCACTTTCAGATGAGGCAAAGCCACCCACACTAGCAAGGGTAATCTTTAGTCAGCCGCTACAGATGTGAACATTTGCAAACACCTGGGCTCATATTTGACAGAAAAACCAAGTTGACACCTAAAATTATCCACTGGTATATGCAGAGGGCATTTGAAAATGTTTACCCAGGATCTAAGGAGAATATTGAGGTGTTTAGAGAGGCAGGACTGATTAATAAAATAAAATAAAATAAAATCCTCATTCCCTTTCTCAGACCCCTTTTTCCCTTAAACATAACCTGAGTGATTTTTTTTTTTAAGTGTGAAAACAAAGACACGGATTGCAACCTCTCAAAAATAAAAAATAAAATTCATTTATTGAAGTGGAAATTTAACACAAGATCCATGTGTACAACCCAACTGAGCCTTAAAAGCTCTGACATGACCCACATGTTCACGCTGACCCTCCTGACCCCTACTGAAATGGAACATCTGAGTAGGCACGGAACTCGCAGTACTGTCTGGCTTTCCAGGCAGTTCTCCTGTTCCTTGATGTGCACATCCACTGAGAGTTTACAATACAGACATGGGATTTTACTGTTCATTCAAAACAAAACAAAACATAACATAACAAAACAAAACAGCTTCTTCAATATCACCTTGATTTAAACCAAAGAACAGGACAAACACCAGGAACTTTCCAGGGTCATTTTCCACTTCTTTCTTTCTTTCTTTTTCTGATAACTGCCTATGAGCAAGTTTAATGTCTCAAGGTACACAGAAAAAGAAGAAAGTGACCAGACAAAAGCTGGAGCAACCAGCAGGACTTAAAGTGCCTTCAAGTATTGACCACAGTTTTCAAAGAGGAGCTTTCCCCTAATGGTGTCTGATTTGTAATGTTCTCTAGAAAATGAAATTCTAAAGCTGACTTGGCACCACCTTCCTGATTGCCATGACCTACCACTCTGTCTGGTTCCCATACCAGGTCTGAGAAAGCCTCAGTGTCCCAGTGGGAGTGGTGGCTGGGGCCGGCCAGTAGAGAAAGTAAACCGGTGTCCAGAGCCCTCAAGGTGTACAGGGGATAAAGAATGCTGTAAACATGATCGGAGCACTGCACTTCCTGGAAGGATCAGGCAAAACAGTAGTACCCAAAGACATAACACTGAAGGGAGGGAGAAATCTTCGGATGAAAGAGCCTGAGGACGGGCTCTGGGCTCCACCTTCAGATCACAGAGCACACTTAACCCAAGACTTCCAAGGGTGAACACCAGACAGTGAGCACCTGCCCATAGGTATGGTTGGAGAGGTGAGATGGGCGGGGCTAAACTGACTCATACCTCTCCCGACCCAGACCCAGACAGCAGCACATTACAAATGATGCCACTGGTAAGGGCAGGGTGGGGCTGATCAGGCTGAATCACATTCTTCCCAGCAAGCACTCACATTCAAGTCTGAGATAATGGGTCTCTTCGGGATGAATTTCGGGTACAGGCAAGGACAGAGGAGCATGTCTGCTCCTGGGGCATCTGGATTTAGGCTTACTCTCCACAAGCCTTGCCTATCTGCTCTGGTCAAGCTTCCATTTGCCTGACTGTTTTCTCACCAGGGGTCATCTGGCTCCAAGCTGACAGCGGGAGATGCCAGGAGGGTTCTGACTCAGGGCTCCTGTGGGCGCTCAGGCTGTGTGCAGCAGAGGACCAACTTCCTCAGGTGTTTGTCTAGAAAGACCCTACTCTTGCTAAAAGAGTCAATTCAGAGTCAAGCCATCAAACTGACAGTGCCTCGGGAGCACAGCAAGAGGCCAAAAAAACAAAAACAAAAACAAACAGAAAACTACACCAAAGAAGCTGCCTCTAGCCAAATGCTAAAGAAGGGGTTCCACGTCGGGTGGGGCTAGGGGCCCTGAAGAGACAGCTGGCCTTGTGTACTGGGTCTCGACCTCCAAAGCCACCTGAATAGGGGTGCCTCTAACAGTTCTGAATACAACCAGGAAGCCATGCCCAGGTGGCCTCTAGGAGAGAACCTCAAGCACAGTTGGGTTGTAGCCAGCATCAGAACCTACTTTGGTCATTTTCCAGCCTGAGACCTCAGAAAGCAAGGCCTCTGTGAGCCCTGGTCACATAAAGCACCTGTGGGTAGGCTGAGGCAACAAAGAGTAAAAAGCACTGCTCTCCTAGGGGCTAAAGAGCAGCAAGACAACAATGCCTCCTCCTAGGCCAGCTGCTGCTGTAGCCAGAGGCCAGCCTTCCCATCTCCAGAGGTGGAAGTCACACAGCAGGAAAGGGCTTGGCTGCAAGGTTGGGCCACAGCCCTTCTAGCTTCTGTCAAACACAAAAGCAAGACCCTGATAAATTCTTGCTTCTTTCTCTGAACCAAGGCTCAAGGCAAATCCTATTTCTAGGTAAGAGCCCGGTAACCAGAATGGAGGAGGCACACACCTCTCGGTCACGTGTGAATGTCTGCATGCACACATGTGCACATTCACACACACACACACACACACACACACACACACACACACACAAACTCAGAGATGGGGAGCTAATGACTGCCCTTTAGAAATCCTTACTCGACAGGAGAGCCAGCGGCAAGCCACAGACTTTCTCAGCTGCCTCTAAAGGACCACCCTGAGGTGACTGACCGAGAAGCCAGACAACTCTATGGGAGGCATGATAGGGGACAGATATGGGTCACAGTTAATGTTTAGTGGTTCCTTGGAAGCCCAGGATGCGGAGGCAGCTTGCGGGCAAGGCAAGGCTTCTGCTCTCTCCCCAGGAACTGTAAACAACGACCCTTGTGTGTAGTGTCTATGAAGAGGAAGTCAACCCGAGCCCCAGCCCTCAGCCTAGTGCACCACAAAAGAACTTCCGAATGCCCAAGTGGATTCAGTCTCATGGATGGAAATCCATGCCTGCATGGATCTCCCAGAGGTGGTGCCTGTTCGTGTGATCTGCTTAAGATCTTTGAGCCAGCTGGCTGTGGCAGCCCATGCTAGTAATCTCAGAACTTGAGGCAGAGACAGGAAAACCAGAAGTTCAAGGTCATCCTGGACTACATAGGAAGTTCAAAGCCAACTTTGGTGACATGAGACCCTGTCTCAAAACACAAACAAACAACAAACAACAAACAAAAACAAACAAACAAACAAACAAAAAGAATGGCCTCTGGCCATTCAGCCAAGAGTGTGGAGGGTATATGCCATGGTCCCCTGGAATAGGTTTCTTTGTGGCAGGAGAAGCCAAGTGCAAGTTGCTGATGGAAAAGTAATCCTCCATGATGCCAGGCCTGAAGTCAGAGCCCGGAACCTAAGCTTAGATAAACTAAGAAATACCTCCAATCTGGGCAGCATCTTATTATCTTTAAGAGCTAAAGGAATCAAGGAATAAAAGACTGTGAACTACACAGAGAAAATGAATAAAGAGGTGGCTGAGGCCCGCAGGTTCACCCAAGCCAGACAGTAGATGGAAACCTTCAGCTTTCTGGGCTGGCTGTAAACTACAAGGAGGCCCAGCAGCCTCTTGGGGCTCGGCTGGGCGGTTACAGAGGTACGGCATCTGGCAGCTTAATAAGAGGCCTGGCTTTGTAAAACGGAAAGAGTCCCCACTTAATTCAATCTAGGCCTGGCCCTGGAAAGGAGAAAAGATCAGGAGCGGGACACTACTTTTTAAATAAAGTGAGCTGCGCGATGGGAATGATTTAGGTAAGGGCAAGTCAGAGGAGGGAGGCCAATGCCGAGGGAGGAGGTGTGATGAAGGAAAGCAGTGGCTACACCCTCACAAGTGGACTGCCTGCTCTCCTCTCCCCTGCAAAAGTCAGCCTCATCTGGCCCAGGTTACCCAAGGGCCCAATGTCAGCTAGAGAAGTGCCCGGGCAGCAGCGCTGCCTTTGTCCAGAGGCTTGAACCATACATGAGGATGTGGGGACACTACTGGGAGACACATGAGGCTGGGGCTGGGCAGGTGCAGGGAACACACCCAGATCCTTATATGAAGGCACTGGTGAAATTGGAAAAGATGTCAGCATGGGTTGGATAGATCAGCTCATTCAGAGACTCATAGGTCCCCACCAGGAAGCCCAGGAGGCCCAGGATGCTGATGAGGACATCCTTGATGATGGTCAGGGGTCTCAAGCCCTCCTCGTAGTAGGTGGTCAGCTCCAGCAGGGGCGGGATGATGAGGGCCAGGGCGCTGCTGCTCACGGAGCCCACCAGAGAGATGACCACATCCAGACGTGGGATGAGGACGGCCAGAACACCTGTAGAGAGAAGGGACATCTGTAATGAAGAACGCCTGGGACTGAAAAATCCAGAAAATTCAGCCTGGGTCCATGTCTGTAGCTGAGAACTTGAAGAAAGTAAAGATGTACATATGTACATATTTCTGTATGTACATATAATTTTTCTTTATTTATCTTTGACAGCACCGTCACACAATTGCCTTAGTGTGTATCGTAGGCGCAACTGAGCTTGAGCTCCTCTTGCCTCAGCCTCCCACACCCCGGGATGACAGCTGTGGACTATCCCAGCTGGTATTCTAGCCAGTCTCTCCCAAAGGGATGACTAGGTGGAGGTCGGGGAGGAGAAAAGAGGGTGGGCCTTTCTGAGAGAAGGCTCATTTCCTTACACTGATGGAGCCACAAATACACCAGTCTTCAAGTGCCAAAGAGAAAGGAATGTACCTTCCTCTCCATCACTTCCTCTTCCAGAAGACACCATGATAAGACCCATGATAATTTCATCAAATACTTTCATGGTGTGGGGAGGGGAGTGGTCCTGCCTGAGGACTGCCCTCTGGGAACAGCCCACCACATCAAGCAGCCATGCTGGTCTTGGAATGGCGCACAGTGTAGGCTTTGAACTTGTCCCTGCAAGCAAAAACTGGGCTGAAGAGACAGTTGGTGACATCCTGTGAGCCTTGCGGTGGAAGGGAATGAGAATTGGGGGAGGGAGGGTGTAGGGGAGCGCTGTGGACTGCTCTCACCACAGCACCCGCTGCCTTGCTGGACGCCTGCCCTGAACCACAGTCTCCCTCTGCCTGTGTCAGCCTCATGGTAACTGCTCCAGGAGTCCCAGGTGTGAACAGAAGCAAGGCAGCTGAGTCCAGGGAGGGTTACAGAAGGACGGTTAGGACTCAGAGTGTCCAGCCTCTCACCTCAGTGCCAGCACCAGCTAGCTCACTCTTAGGCTTCCCAATTGCCAAGAAGGGGTGACCAAAGGGGTCACTCACGTCAAGAGAGAACAGTGTGAACTAGACTATGCGAAAGGGGGACCACGGCATCCTCTCTTCCCTTTGGGTTTCAACACACAGGGCGAATGACCTCACAGTTACAATGAGGCGAATGGCTAGGGTCTGGGATCTGGGAAGCCTATGGTCCAAAGCCAACATCCCAAAGAGAAGACCTAAGCGGTTGAAAGAGTAAACAAATGTATTCTGCTAACACTAGCTACAGGGCAGGAGGCTCACACTGATATGAGGACTAGTGCTGGCAAAACCCACTATTACTTCTGCAGGTTTAGAAATTTGCCTTCAAAATTCACAGTGGCTTTGAACAAACTCATTCTATGGGGGGATGGACAGGAAAAAAATACGAAAGCTATATTCGCATTTATGAACACAGGGAAACTTTGGTTAATGAACACCTCTCCCTCCACTGCAGTTCAAGTGTAGTTGGGGAGGAGTGGGGAGAAAGATGAACTCCAAGAGGGGTTTAAAAATGAGGTTATAGGGGCTGGGGATGGCTCGGCAACTAAGAGCACTTACTGCTATCGCAGAGGAGCCAAGTTCAGTTGCCAGGTCTTCTATCAGAGAGTTTACAACTGCCTATAACTACAGATCTAAGAAACCTAATACCTTCTTCTGGCGTCTGTGGGCACTGAAGAGAACCACGTATGAACACACACAGATAACACACAAAAATAAAATATCTTATAAAACAAGGCTGGGGACTAGAGAGACAGCTCAGTGGTTAATAGCATTGGCTAGTATTCCAGAGGACCCACGTTTGATTTCTAGCACCTACATGGTATTTATAACTCCAGTTCCAGGAGATCTGATGCCCAGGCACCAGGCACCTGGTGATAAAAACAGCCATACACATCAAATTAAAATAAAATAAGAGGCTGGACCTTTTTTTTTTTTTTGAATATATATCTTCCTTTTTTTCTTGAATATTTAAGTTGAGGAAGAGGATGAAAAGGGAAACCTTAGAGACAGCAATAAAAACAAGCGGCCAGTAAAATGTACCAGTCTAATTGAAAACAGTCACATAAAGATGGAAAGTGATTCACCAATCAGCTTTGCCACAAGAATTGAATAAACAGAGAATCAGGAACAAAGTGAACCCACACAGGTACACTGGGGTTGGTGCTACCCTGACAGGCCTCTTCTGCCTCCCACAATTACTTCAAAGTCTCCGAGAAAGCCTGGAAAGGCTATGGAGCTGGCAGAGATGAAGGGGCTGCCTCCTTTGATAGGACAATGAGCAGAACAGATCACAGGAGGTGGGAGAGCCGAACATTCTCTCAGAGATCAGACACAGCCCATCCCTGTGAGTGTCCTTCAAGTACAAAGAAGGAAAGTGAGGTCCAGACTGAGCCAGGAAAAGCAAAGCAGAAAAATCAAGAGGATCTAAGGACAGGCCCAGGTCCAGAGCCAGGGACTGAGACCTCCTGCAGGTCCTATGCTTTGGGACATTCTACAGGGATGGACCTACTTTTTCCTGGAAGAGCCACACTGGAAAAGGCAACTTAGATGAATGTTCAACGTTCTGTCTTGCAAAGCCCTTTGGAGTCAAGAACCAGGCCCTCAGAGCTGACGAGAGAAGCCACCATGCACACAGAAGCTGTCCCCTCATCACCCAAACTAATCCATCCTCAGAGGACACACAGCTGAGCGCACATCAGTTGTTGCCACAGAGGAGGGCGTCGAAATGCAGCGGGGTTGCTCTGGACCCTCCCCAGCTTAGCAGTCTCGTGGGCTGTTTCTCCCAGGAGAGAGGCTGGAATCTGTTAAAGAGCAGGAGAAGCCAGAGTTCTGGGTGCAATGCGCTCTCTGCAGGACTGGGGAATTCATGGTGTCCAGACTCGGTCTCCAAGGAATCCTTACATCTGCCCAAGGTTAAGTGAAAGGATCGAGGTCATCTCATTAGTTCTGGAGAGTTCTTTCTGTATAGACACTGAGAAGGCTGGCCTTCTACCTGCTGTTTCTTGCAGGAAAACAATGATGTGCCAAATATAGTGGGATTATAATCCTAGCACCCAGGAGGCAGAGGAGTAAAATCAGAGGCTACAGGTCATTTCACACCACGAAGCTGCCCTCTGACCTCTACATGTACCCCACCATCATGAATACATATAATAGTAAATAAGAAAAACACTCAACTCCAGTTCAGTTTACAAATACATATATTTGTGTATATATATATATGGATGTGCCTAAGGGGAGAGAAAACAATTATATAGACCCATCTTAATTCCAAAGATGGAAGCTAGGATTAAGTGATTTAAAGACATTACCAGAGATGTCTTAATGTAATAAGCTATGAGATGCTTGCTCCCAAACAGTAAAACTGACATAAAAGTCTAATTTGGAAAACTGCAAATCTCCTGGAAATCCAACCAGAAATGAGAGACCAGTTGGCTAGGGAATCCCTGGTTGAACTCACAGAAGTAATGAGGAAAAGTTAATTTTTAAAAATTGGCCTTACTTTCAACAAAGAGAAAGTAAGGTGCTGGTGGTACTCTGATTTTAATGTTTAACTCAGGGCAGGGAAAAGGGGGATAAAAAAAAAAAACAGTGAAAAGCGAGGTTAATCAATAATGTTTAAAGATGAACATAAAAAAAATATCTGGGACCATCTTCCCAGCTCAAGATGTACAGCTCTTTAAAGCAGCAAACACATACTTCCTGTGAAACTAATCCGTCCTCATTACAGATAAGGTAAAGTGGCCAGCTACTGATCGATCCGCACAAATGAGGACTTGTTGTATCCCAGGCTAGCCTTGAACTCTTGACCGTCCTGCTTCTACATCCTCGTGTGGGGATTATTGTGTGAACCACCATACCCAGGTTATGTGGTGCTAGGGATGAATGCTAGGCAAGCACCCACATCCTGCCGTGACTTCTAGATATTTACTTGTTTTAGATGACATAGTAACAGTACCTTCTATGAAAATTTCCAGTCCTCACTATGAATGGGCTTGAAGTAACTATCCATCTATCTAACCATCAGTTCATCCACTTACCTATCTATCCATCCATCTTTTTATCCAGCTATCCATCCACCCATCCATTCATCTATCTATTCATCTACTTACCCAGCCAGCCATCTATCCATCATTTATCTACCACCATCCATCCGTCTGTCTATCACCTCATCTATAAACTACCGTCCTCACTTCTGAGTTCTTTCGGAAGGCTGAGAACCACTCCTTCATGCCCTGGTTTATGCCTCAACTCCAGCAGTGTGTCTGTGCACCAGGCTCTCACTGGGGGCAACTTCAGATGTCCTCTAGCCTTTAAGTAAAAGCAAAACTCATCTCTTCTACTCACACGTCACAGAGACCATTGCGGTGCGCACGAGGAGGTCCACCGTTAGCTTGTAGTGCTCAGGCACTCGGAACACAATGGGCGGGATGATGATTTCGGCCGCCACATAGAACTGGATAGCGTAGGTGAAGAGGATGCCTATGGAGTACAGCAGCTTCACCGACTGGTACAACCTGCAGAGAGGGGGTGCTCTCAGGGGCCTGACGGTGCAGGCAGGCAGCCCTGGACAGAGCCCAAGACCGCCCCTGCACCTTGGAGTCAACCAGAAAGGTCACCAACCCACACGGCCCTCAGACTCAGAAGTTTTATGCCTGGCACTCTCTCTCTGGCACTCTCTCTCTCTCTCTCACACACACACACAGATACTAAATGCAAATTAATTTTTTTAAAAGTCCTCTCTGGCTTTTATGTAAGGGAAGGCTATGAAAGGGAAATGTTAATTCTTAGAGAACTGAATAAGCTAAGTAAGTCACAGTGCCTCCATGTAGCTCTTCAAAATGAGGAGGTAAGCCAAGTGTGTCATCTCCCTAGCATTTTGGAACAGGAGGCAGGAGGGTCAAGAGTTCAAGGTTAGCCTCTGCTACACACTGAATTTCAGACCAGCCTGGGGTACATGAGAACTTTTCTCAGAAAACAAAACAGAAAAGAAAAAAACAAATAAATAAGTAAAAAAAGAAAAAAATAAATAAAGAAGAAGACACCCCTCCCTCCCCCCCACACCCGTGAATATGGAGACTGACCCCAGGATGTGGTAAAAAACGTTCTCTCTACACCTTCAGCCCGAGGTATCTGAGGGAAGACAGCTGCTCACTGGGGTCAGACTTTATATCCTGGTTGTGTCAGGCACCCCTTGGGGAACAGGAATGCAGCACCCAGTCCCCTAGCATTCGAAGGTACATTCAGTAATCTAAAAGCAGTGCCGGAGGGAAGATTGAAATCCCTCTGAATGAGAGCCCGCTTGGCTGGAGGTGCGCCCAGCTTGATCTCCAGCAGCCTGCCCACTGGGGAATCGGTGCTGTACACTGACCCTACTGAGCCACCATTTTTCTCAGGTGGTCCTCACCCAAAGTCTCACCACTCGGAGGGCTATCAAATGGGATGGATGGAAAGGCTGCTCTGGGTCCCTGGGGGTTAACCAGTGTCTCGGTGTGGGGCAAACTCTCGACAACGAAGATCATCTTCCAAACAGAGACCTCTCGGGACATGCTCTGGGGCATCCGGGCTCTTCTGTAGGACTCAGTGTTTCCCTACAGCATGTCCATCTGGGAGAGACTCCTGACAGCCGGCCCTCTACGGTGGGATGACCTGCACAGCGTGCCTGTAACTGACCGCAGACAGACCTGCCCTCCTCACACAAGAGTCTGGAACGGCTTCAGGTCCACAGAGTGAGGCTACTCCGTCCTCCTGGGCTCAGTATTTCCCAGAAGTGTCTTAACAGATGGATGATTCACACATGAATTCAGGATAAGCTGCCCGTAGGAATCACATGCTCAGGGCAGCCAATCGACAGGGAAAAGTGACATTCTGCCCTATGGCCTTCTGGGAGTTTCCAGTGCCCCCCACCCCCGCGTACCAGCAGTTGGGCATGTTGAGTGTGATGCTACCCTTGATATTAGCTCCAAACTGCAGATACCCCAGGGTTCCCAGGCTGATGTAGAGCATGGTGACTATGACCATCCCCAAATACATGATAAACGGGAACTTCTCTGAGTCCTTCATTTTGTTCTCAAGGGGTAGAACCTACAAAATAGTAAGAAGGGGAAGAAAAGCACGTGAGAAAGAAAGGTGAACATACCACACAAATAGCATTATCAAGGGCCTGGGGGGGTCGGGGATGGGTCAGCCGGTAAGGTTCCTGCTGTGCACACATGAGAACATGAGTTCAGATGCCCAGAGCCACAGAAAAGCCGGGTATGGTAGCATGCATCGGTAACCCCAGCACCTAGCAGAGGTGGGCTGGGGTGGGAGGGCAAGCTGATGAATGGAGCTCACTGACCGGACAACAGTCTAGCTGAAGCGGTAAATTCTAGGTTCAGCGAGAGGTGTCATCTCCAAAAAACGGAGGAGTGCCTGGGGAAGACACGTGGTGCTGCCTCTGAACACACAAGCACACACACATGCGTGCCCAGGGGCTACATGCACATGAACACACACACACACACAGCGCACCGTAAAAGAAAACAGAACCTTTACTGCCAGACCCAAGAGCATGCTTTCCTCTCGTGCACAGTGGAGTCAGTTTTTCTATCAGCAGCTACACTCTCGGGTGTAACAAGGGGTTTCGGAACCCACTGTCTAATCAGGAATGAGCAGAGGTAAGATGGAGATTCCCTTGTCCTCCCTGAGACGCCAGGGGCTTGGGGTGCGCTCGGCCCTCACAGCAGTATGGTACCCCAGCGGGACTCTGACACCTGCCTTGAGATCACAGTCTCTAGCTAATTTTTCTAAGTGTGAGGTTCCCTTCTTTAACTTTTTGTGTCTGGGAGGAGAGGGTCTTATGTACCTAGGCTGGCCTCAGCTGTGTAGCTGGAGACCGCCTAAATGCCTTATCCTCCTGCCCCTGCCTCCTGATCGCTGTGACAATCAGCAGGTGCCACCACATCCAACTCAAGAGATAACTTCCGACGGGGTTTCCTGAGCACCAAAGCAGACACTGGGGACGCTGGGGGTGCTGGGGAGCAATCAGGCCCAAGCCACAGTACCCCTCTTACCACTCCAATGCCTTCAAAAGCAAAAACCGCCGTGCCAAAAAAGAGAGGAAAGGTCTTCCATGGTGCCACCAAGGGGAGGTCGCTGGGGTCTGGGATATTCTGGAAAAGATGGACAAAGCCAAGGGCTAGTCAGAGATTCGAGCTTTGAAACACAAGTCAGAGTGCACCTTCTCCAAAAATCTAAGATTTCAGAAGAGGAAGAAGCTGACAGCTACACTGGGGACAGCCAGCGCCAGCTGCCCTCTCTTTTCAGATTGGAAAGCCTCTACTAGTTTTGGATAAAGTTCTGCCCAACACATTCAACTGCTCACACCCTGATGCCTGCATAAAGTCTCATACTCATTCATGGATCCCATCCTGACATTTGACATAATAGGAGAAACTCAAGAAACTGAGCAAAGATACTTAGCAAAGAAGTTGTTAAGTATTGAAAACCATCTTAAATACTCCAAAAGAAGTGATCAATTAACCACCTGCCAAATATATCACAGAATATTATACACTACACATGCACACGCACACGCACACACACACACACACACACACACACACAAAAACCCCAGAAATTAAAGCCAGACATGGGAGTGCACAGCTATAAACTCTGAACTTTAGGAAGCTGAGGCAAGAGGATCAGGAATTCGAAGTCAGCTTGGACTCTGTGTGAGATAGGGAAGAACACGAAAACTGATTATGAAACAGTACCGAGAAAATATTTGTTATGTTATAGCCAGATGTTATGACTTACATCTGTAATCTGAGTCAAGAGACTGAGGCAGGAGGATCAGGAGGAGTTCAAGGTCAATTTAGGCTATATTGTCAGTTTGAGGCTAGCCTGGGCTGCCCTGTCAAACAAACAAACAAACAAACAAACACTCAACCACCACCACAAAGCTATGTAATAATTGTGACACAATTATGCGAAGCCTCAAACACCTGCAAATTACCCACACAGCTCAACTCTGCAACAATACTAACGAGATAAAAGCTCGAGAAGAATGTCATCAGGTATATAGGCTGAAAGACGCAGGCGGAGTAATTTCTTTGTTCTCTCACTGGAGGCCTATCTGGAGTAATCACTTGTTCCCGTCTCATGTAAATATGCTGCATGTAACTAGTTTCTCGTGTTCCACAGGATGCAGTAAGGCCCAGGCCTGTACCTGAACAATGAATTGGTATATCATGACCAGGCTGATCAGCATGGTGATGTTGGCCAGCAGGGAGAAGATGGACAGGATACGCAGCTTCCTGACGAAAGTCAGAAGCACAAAGAAGGGCAGGAAGATGAGCATGTAGAGGCGAGAGTCCATGGTGGGCGTCAGGATCACAGTCTCATTGTCTTCGCAGTTGGTGGTGGTCCCGTTGGCTGCCTCTATCACCTGGAATGAGAAGAAAGGAGGAGAAGCCCTACGTGACAGAGCCACTGTGTATCTTGCTGGAGAGGGATACTTGAGAAAGAATTAGGCGTGCGAACTCGGCGTTTTACGTAGGCACCTATGGCTGAGAAACTTGCTTGGAGTCTTCATTACTGCAAACTGTCTGAGCTGGGTTTGATCATGTTTCATAAGACAGAAGGATGTGGCAGACAGATGGGGGGGATTTAATGATAAGGTCTTCCCACTCTTATCTTAAGCATTCCTTCTGATGTTCAGGAGGCAAAGAGGAAAGCCTGCAGGCCCTGATCCAGCTGTAACCAGCATGCCTAGAATGAAAGGGGGACACTCTGAAGAAACACCTGAGACCCTCCTTTCAGCTATCGTACTCTAGACAACTGAAATTCCCCCAGGAATCTCATGCTGAGGGAAGGAAAGGCCCTGGTGCCAGCCAGATGTGGAACTAGTCTCCTGGAAAGGGGAAGGGATTATACATAGTGCCAACAGGCCAACCTGTCAAACCACCTTACAGGAGAGACTGGACCAGAGACAATGATGGGCCAGTGATGAGCAGGACCACATCCTGACCAGGGCTACTTTTTTTTTTTTAAGTCAAGTATTCATATGTGCGTGGGTTTATTTCTGGGTCTTCAATTCGGTTCCATTGATCCTCCTTTCTGTTTCTTTTTTTTTTTTTTTAATTTATTTTATTTTATTTTTAATTACACTTTGCCAGCAGATGGCAACACAAGCAAGGCAAGGTGAGGTCTCTTTACACCACAGGTGTTCGGAGGAGAATCAAACACTAAAGGCTCAATCCAAACCATTTTGGCTTGGAAGGAACCTTGAACAAAATCTCCATTTGATTCTCACCCTTCCCTCTTTTTCAGTAGAACTCTACCTGTTTAAAGTTGTCAGCCAAAAACACGAAGTAGACGCAGCAGAATCCCAACTGAGTGATGATGAGGAAAAAGTCCACAAGATGCCTGCAGAGGGGATGAGAGGAGCACCAAGACTGTTGAATTGGAAACCGTCTTCCCAGGAGATGAACATCTGTCCTCACCATCCCAGTGGGTGACAAGACCAAGCTGTGGCCAGAGGGCCAAGTGTGCCAGGGCCACCGGTACAGAGTTTGGGGAGACTGTGGAGAACCAAGTCCCCTCACTGGTTCTTGTCTTCCTGCGTGAGCTCAGGGCAGCACCAGAGCACAGCCTGGCCCTGGTCTTCTACTGTCTAGCCACTAACTCAACTCCTCCTTGCAAAAGCTACAGAGTGCCCTCAGCATGAAAGACCAGGAAACAGGCCTTCTCAGTTTCCTACAACTGGGGCCCAAGCCCTGGTCTAATTGAAGATAATGAGCAGGAAGAAGTGTGCCAAACCAGACTGCTGGCTGAAGCACTGTGATTAACAGCTGGGGGTGATCTGAGGCCCCAGCGAGAGGAATGGGGTTATAGACCTGTCTCAAGTGGAACACGGTACAGCAGTTAGAAAGAATGGTTTAGATCTGGAACAATTTCTGGAGGAAAATATCCAAGGTACAAAGGAGGAAAAAAAAAAGCAAGTTTGTGTCTTTGTTTTACTTTTGTTTTTCGAGACAGGGTTTCTCTGTGTAGCCCTGGCTGTCCTGGAACTCACTCTGTAGACCAGGTTGGCCTCTAACTCACAGACCCACCTGCCTCTGCCTCCCAAGTGCTGGGATTAAAGGCGTGTGCCATCACTACCTGGCAAAAAAAAAAAAAAAAAAAAAGCAAGTTTCCAAACAGCACACACAGGAAGAGTCACTTGCCAATAAAGAAAAAGATACATGTAAGAGCATTGGAATCCTCAAATTTATTCAGAAACTTCCAGAACCAACCAGAAAGGTACCCAGGCCAGTGGACTATGGCCAGAATTTAATTCTATCTTTCAAACTGTGTCCTCCCACCACATGTAAGCAATGCTCTTCCTGCGAAAATAAGGAAGGTTGTGTGAAAGGGCGGAGGAAACAGAGGGAGGAAGAAATGGAGACAGGAAAAATTAACTGAACAGCCGAACTATAGTGGGCACTCGACAACCTGGCTGCTCCTCAATAGATGACTTTGCCAAAGAAAGAAACAGAAAGGGAGGGAAGGAAGGGAGGGAAGGAAGAAAGAAGGAAGAAGAGAAAAGGTATACACCACATGGTAGAATGGAGCTATGAATGACCCTCTTCCTCAAGACAACAAAACCAAGGATTCGGGCCTTGACAGTATGAAAACTCTACATCTAGACAGGCACAAACGTCACCTGAAAAGTCAGGAGAAGTTCTCAAAGCTCCCCACCTGCTCTGAACATTACCCCTGCCTATCCTATCATCCCACACAGCCAGACTCCACCCTCCGGCCTCTCATCCCCGAATTTCATTGTGGACCTCTTGCCTTTTTCCTGGCTTCTCTTCCCACTCGTCTTTCACCCTACAAAGGCCACAGCCCCAGCTGTGGCAGGGCAGAGTGTGTGTGTGTGTGTGTGTGTGCGTGCGTGCGCGCGTGTGGAATGGGACACAACAGACAAAGTAATTTACGTCAGGGAAACCCCTTTTCCAAGCTAGAATCATTTTTGTGCCAGTTATGAGAGACTGGCATAAAACACATTTGGCGAACAGATCAAAGTGCTCACAGTCACAGGCTATCACGGCTGGATTAGCCATCCGAGGGCCTCAGGTCAGCCCCATGTACTAAAGATGAAGAAACTGAGGCCCAAAGAAAGGTTGGGCTCATGGCTTACCACTTGTCAAGCTAACCCCAACACACCCTCCACTCCTGGCGTCCACTCCTGGCACTGTCCCTGCAGCATGCCTGCCTGTCTCTGAGGAGATCATGCCAAGAGGAACAAGGAAGTCAGTTACCTTCCCCAGTGGGAGTGGTTCCGGACCCAGGCGCTGGGGCTGCATTCTAGTCCGTACTTCACTGTGTCACCATAGTCCAAAAAGGGTTTGTTCAGTCTGGGGTGGGCGTGGGGGGCGGATACAGGAAAAGCAGAATGCATTGGTTAGACAATCACAGTTAAAGAACAAATAGAGATACTGAGACATGGGCCAGTTCTTCACTTTTCACCCTGGGGGACCTCGGAACCCCGAAAGGACCACAAGTGGGTGCATACATGGATGTGTGCATACATGAAGGCCAGATGTGGATGTCGGGTATTTTCTCCAGTCCCTCTCTACCACTTTACTTTTGGAGACAGGGCCTCTTACTGAACCTGGGGCTTGCCCACTATGCTAGAATGGATGTCCAGGGAGCCTCAGCAACTTCCTGTCTCTGTCCCTCCAGCGCAGGGACTACAGGTGCCCACCTCTGCACCTGCTTCTCCTTCTTCTCCTTCTTCTTTTTTTTTTTTTAACATGGTTACTAGGAATCTGAATTCAGATGCTCACGCCTGCGCGTTAAGCATTTTACCAGTGAGCCTTCTTCCAACCCATGGGTCATAAGTGTTGAGCAAATGGCCTGGAATCCTCATTATAATCCACAAGCAGTTGGTAGAGGTATTTCAGTACAATAAGCAACCACAAAAATTAGAATGTGATCTCTGCCCATAGGATGTGTGTAAACTTAACATATAGCAATGAGCCATAAATAAATGAATGAACGAATGAATGAATGAATGAATGAATGAATGAATGAATGAATAAGTAAGTAAATAAATAAATAAATAAATAAATAAGGAGGTGAGGCGATACTGCCATGACAGCCGCCATCCCCAGCTGGGAGATGAACCCAGAGGAGCTGTACACCCTACTTGCAGGCTGACAAAGGGCCCCTGCTGATAATCTCTGCCCCCCAGGGGCAGGTGTGGGGCTCTCACCTGTGGCATAAATGACGAGCACATTTCACCAGGATAGCCATGCAGTGCACCGCCACGATGCCAATCGCCAACAGGCTCACAGGACCCAACTAGGGACCGGGTTGCAGACAAAAGGGAGAGAAGCAGGCAGAATTAGGAAAGAGCCCAAAGGACCCTGGATGTGTTGATGATAAATGTTATTAAGGCGTGTCTAGGGACAGAACTCTGCCAGCGGGAGATAGACAGGGTCCAGGAAACTGTATCTGCTCGTGTCCTCAGCCCCAGCCCAGACACTTAATCTTGTGGAGAACACGGCCCTAAGATAAGCTCCTTCTGCGACTGTCTCGGATCTTCAGGGTAGAAGTTCCTGGCAGGCTCTGGGATGTAGCAGGAGGAGACGTTATCCTGAGGGCGACCAGCAAGGTCAGCACTTCAATGGTCTGTCTCTGGGTAAGCAGGTGAGACAAAGGGAGAGCAGAGATGCCAGCTAATGTCACTGACCCTGGCTCAGAGCAGAGCTTAGGAAATGCCTGGCACACACAGAACCCCACTGCACAGCTTTCAAAGAGTGAACGTCTGAAACCCTTACCAAGAGGCCTGCATTTTTCACTGCCAGGGGCAGCCCCAGGAGTCCGGTGCCAATGTTGCCTTTTAGCATGTGGATCAAGGTCTGGAACCATCTGAGGTGGGAAGGCAAGTGGGGAGTGTTAACAGCAATGCCGGCCAATGCTTAGCCACATGGCACCAAGGCAGAGAGCCTGCGAGCACTGTCTTATCTGATTTCCCAAATAACCTTGTGATGTTTCATTTCATAGATGAGGGACCGACTTGTTCAAGGAGCACGCCTCCCAGTGACAGCACTTCCTGAGTTCTCCTCTCTCAGGGGCTAGTTCAGAGGGCCAATGGAGGTTCTCTCTAAGCATTCTGTCCTTTCCTGATGCGTTCAGGGCTACGTTTGACCACTGAGTGAATCACCCTGATGGTCCACCCAAAATGCCATAGACAATGATGAGATGTAACTTTGAAGGGTAGACCTCAGTGTGGGGGGTAAAAAAAAAAAGGAGTGGTAATTAAAAAATAAAGTCCAAGCTGGGTGTGGTGATGACAACACTTAACCCCAGCACCTAAGAGGCAGAGGCAGTTGGACCTCCCTGTGTTTGAGGCCAGCCTGGTCCACACAGCCAGTTCCAGGTCAGCCAGGACTATATAGTGGGCCTCTATCTAAAAACCAACCAATCAAACAAACAAACAAACAAAAAACACTTAATAAAGTTCAGCCCCTCTAACAGTCTAACTATCACGAGGGACTCAACATTCCCACTGGGCCAGGCACAGTGGCACACACCTTTACTCCCAGCAGTTGGGAAGCTGAGGCAGGAGGGCAGAGACCTGGGACCAGCAGGTAAAGGGGAGGGGCTAATCACCACAGGTGAAGGAAGGCCACAGACCCTACTGAGAAACAGGAGTACATGAGGAATGATTTGTCTTAGTGGCACATGGGCTGGGCTATCTATTGGCAAGGGTGAGTCAGGAGTGTCCCCTTCTGTAGGGAAGGCAGAGGCATCCCAGACTACACAGGAGTGTGCTGGCCTGGGCCTTTCTTTGCCTTTTGTTCCCACGACAGAGTAGGAAACAGCTCAAGCGAGGTTGCCTTCAATCACTCAGGGCTTGGCCTGGGAGCAAAAATCCTTCTGTACAAATAGCCCTCAAGATCCCTCAAAACTGGCACTTGGACACAAATCTGTGTTTGGCAGAAAACAAAAGCCAGCAACCCTTTGCTGCCTCAGAGGCCATTCCCTCAGCTCTACCAGGAAGGAAATCTGATATACCTGTCATTCTGGTATCTGCAGGATGGAACATCAAGAAAAGGCCTTTGACTCCCAGTAGACATATGCTCCCCTGGGCTGCTTGGAAGCCACGCGGTCCAGCGGCATTATTGGTAGCCGGTGGCCAGGAGATAACGGGCCTGTTAAATCTCTATCTTGGCAAACAAATGTTTAACCTACTTAAGTGCAAAGGTAAACCTGTACCACACACTCCGACTTCTCTGAAGCCTCCCCCAAAATACCTTGGCTCTACTGTCACTCTGTACGGCCAATCCCTTCCATTATAGGAACTGTCATCTCCTCTGTGCTGTGAGGTAATGGGACCAGAGCTAGGTGATCCCAAAGCCCCGTCAGTTCAGGAACATCAGCCTTCTAGGCCACAGGTCAAAATCGCCCACAGTGATGTCCCCTCCACACCAGGTGGGCATCACAGTACCATCTCCAAGACTGTGACATCCTAGCCACAGGGTGGGTTAGCTTCTCAAGACAGAGGGGAGAAGCTTACCAGGCCCTCTAGTTTTCACTGGGTGCTGTCAGGAGCTCTTAGACTTTTTTGGGGGGGATGGGAGGAGAGGGCCCCAGGCCCTGTTTATTCTTGGATGAATTAAGGATCCCTGATATCTTTACTTATGTAGGTTCTATCTGCGGATAAATTACATTACTCAAACCGAAATTTAAAAATTCATAATTTAAAATAACAGTACATTTAACGAGTACTAATGAATTAATGAAAGCTAAATACGAAATGGTACTGTATCACTTTAAAAAAAATGATCCACTTAAGTTTTAAAATTTATGTATGTGGGTGCTTGGTCTGCATGTGTGTCTGTGAACCACACGAGTCTTCACAGGCCAGAAGAGAGTGTCAGATCCCCTAGGACTGGAGTTATGGACAGTTGAGCCTCCATGTAGGTGCTGAGTATCAAAGCTGGGTCCTCTGGAAGAGCAGAAACCATCTAGATCTCCAGCCACTCATATTTTAAATCTTTATTTACATGTCTCTATGTGTGTGTGTGTGTATGTGTGTGTGTCTGTGTGTCTGTGCGTGTGTATCTGTATGTATCTCTGTGTATGTATAACTGTGTGTGTGTCTCTCTGTGTGTATCAGTGTGTGTGTTCATGTGTACATATGTGCATATGAGTGAGGGTGTCCTCAAAGGTCAGAAAAGGGTATGTGATCCCCTCCAGCTGGAGTTACCGGTATTTGTGAACCGCCACGGTGGGTGCTGGGACCAGGGCTCAGGTCCTCTGCAAGGGCAGCAAATGCTCTTAACCACCGGGCTGGCGCTCCAGCACCATCCCCACATGGCTGTTTAAAATATCTCCTAAACGCCTCATCTAACAGAAGACAGCTGCTGTCTGCTTCAACGTTCGATCTATATGTGTGGTGCTGCTTGGGGGAAAGTCTGTGAGAACACGTGCTCTCCCTAGTCACGTGGCTGGAAAAAGAAGGAACACTTTAACCGCCTCTTCAACCATGCCAGTTCCATAACGGTTATCAGCAATGTGGAATCTGACCCTCTTGCAATCTGTTCTCTTAATCCGCTGCTGTTGCTGCTGCTGCTGCTGCTGCTGCTGCTGCTGCTGCCGCCGCCACCTGCAGGGACCCTTCCCTCACACACAATTTCCTAACATGTGGAGCTTCCTGGCTCCTGAGGCCCGCATGCCCTAACCTGTATCGTTACATAAGCTCAACGCCACGCCTGCAAGGGCTCCCCTTGACCTCACAGGAAAGCATCTGCGAGTGCACAGTGCTGGGTGCAAGGGTGGCTGGGATGCTCTGCTTGTTTCTTTCTCTAAGTTTGCCTGGAAGCTCACATTTCTTGGGAGCCACAAAAACACTGTTGTTGGTTTTTCTTGAGCTAATGGGCTTGTTTCGCTTTCAAAGGTCACGCTAAATGCTTGGATCTGAAAAACCTAGTTAACTGGTTGTTTTTCTAGTTTGTTTTACATTTTATTTACTTTTATTTTTCTAGTTTATTTCCCATTTCTACGTACGGGGGGTGGGGGAAACCCAGTTAGTTCAGTTGGCAACTGCTGACACTCACACTTTAGTGTACGGTATTTTTTATACAGACTACTCAGACTGGTCCCGTGCTAGAGGTTGCCATTTAATAAGAATTAATGATCCCATTATCTCATCAAGGACTTTTTAGGGTATTGGAGACGGGGTCTCAAGTATCCCAGGCTGGCCTTGAACTCCCTATGTAGTCCAGGATGACCTTGAAACTTCTGACCCTCCTGCCTTCACCTCCCGAGTGCCACCTCACTGCGGGTTATCTGCGTTTATTTATGTCTTGCTGGGAACGGGACTCAGGACAAGAGTGCACGCTAGGAAAGCACTCTGCCAAGCGGGCTACATGTCCAGGCCTTGTCAGGACCACTCAAATGAAACTGGCCTTTTCCTTCTACTCACACGTGTCTAGGAGAATGTAGGTGTGTGTGTGTGTGTGTGTGTGTGTGTGTGTGTAGTGTGTGTAGTGTGTGTGTGTGTGTGTGTGTGTGTGTGTTGTGAGAGGAGTGTTCAGAGGAGGAAGCTGCTGACACACACTGCCCCTGCATCCTTGTACACAAGAGAACAGAGTAAAAGGCAAATGACATCTTGGCACTCTTAAGAAGAGCAATGGTGGTCTGGGAACTCCCAAAGCTCTGCAGTCCGTATTTGGCAAATGGCTGTTTCAAGTCAGCCAAAGCCAGTGGGTAGCTGAGGTCCCAGCCTGCTGACCTCTGGAGGCACCCCTGAGGTGGGATTGAGAGCCGTTCCTAAGTACTCAACAGGGCAACAAGGAGGAAAATGTACCCTGCAGTGTGAACTGCCCTACTGTGTGCAAGCTGCCCTACTGTGTGCAAACCGCCCTACGGTGTTAAACAGAGGCTGCCGTCAGTGCTGTCAACAGCTCCATGGCACCAAATGTTAGGGGGAAATCACTAACACTCCATCACAGAAATGTCTAAAGTCCCTATTTGCACACACTATTTTGGGTCTTTTAACTGAGCCTTTAACTTCTGGAAAGAGTCGAGTGTGGATAAGCAGTTCTTCCAAGGCACTTTGCTCCTGAGTGAAGTGGATGACAGGGAAGGGCAAAGGCTTCAAATCACTCCCACTCACTACCTGATAGAGACTGACCAGGGTCACCAGTTAGCCTTGGTCCTCCTGGCATGTTTCCTGAATAAACGCCTGGGTGGATCCTGTCCCCAGACTGGAGTGACCAATACTCTAAGACCCAAACAAATACTTCCCTCTGTATCATGGGAAATGTCCTATCACAAGCTGAAGGAGGGAGTTCTCTGCCTGGCTTGATTTCCAAGAAAGCAGGGGAAGTGATGAAATCAACCCGAGGACAACCCAGGCATGCATCCTTGACCTTGCACGGCTGACCTGGAACAACAGCCAGCCAGCTGGTCTTGACTTTCAGAGAGGTCTCTATAAAGGTGAAATTTTAGACTGTGCACAGAAAAGCACTGTGCAAACAAATTGATCATTGGAAGAAGTATTTCACAAACCCGAAAGGGACCTCACTCTCCCTAGGGACATTGATGGGGCATATGAGGCCAGAGGGAAGACAGAAAGGGTGTCCTGGCTTCAACCAGCTGTACTGTAAGCAATCTTTTCCACCAACTGAATTTGCAAATAAATGAAGAATCTATAACAGTATGTTGTGTGGGGCATAAGCTAAAACCCAGAATCTTTGTGCGAGTGGTGGCAAGGATCCAGCCATGTGCACAGACCATTTTCCATGCCAGCTTCAGTTCACAGGGAAACATGTCCCTCCCAGGAGAGAGTGCAGACAGAGGGCACAGCCCCACAACTTCCACAGTCCCCTTGAGCCACCACGGAGAGTTGGAGGCATGCAGCATTAACACTTAGACCCAAAGCCACCTTCAGTAAGTCACACCCAGCCTGCAAGGGAACACAGGAAAGGTGACAGCTGAGATTTTGGGGGAATAAATGACAGGGCTGCCGAGGACAGGGTTCTGGGACCTTGAAAAAGGCCAGGCGCATGCTGGGAAACTCAGAAGAACAGAACCCTTCCCTCTGAAGTTTCCAGTTCAAGGAGTGAACCTCATACAGACAGCCCAGCTTCCCAGTGGGCTTCTCTACTGGTCTTTACATCGGGGGGGGGGGGGGTTATTGAGAACCAAAGAGGGCCAAACTCAGCCCAGGGGAGCCTGAGGTTTCAGCTTCCAGGTAAAAGACTGCAGCTCTCTTATGGAAAGCCACGTGGATCTCTCCTCTACCCTCTCTGGAAGGTTCTTAAATCCAGCCACCATTCAGCTAGGAGTCCCAGGAGGCTCTGCCAAGAAGGTGCTAATGGAGCCAGGAGGCATCTGACGCCTGGTTCTAGCCTGAGAGATTATCCCTTGGGAAACTTTTAAGTCCAAGCTTTTCCCAGACACCAGCTTTCTGGAACTAACCATGAATAAGCAATAAGTCCCCTCCATGACTAGGGAGGGGCAGAGTTCGTCGCTGGTCCTGCCTGTAGGTAGCCTGCTTTCTTCTTTCTGGTAGGGTAAAAATGGGAAAATGGAGGCACAAATTGTTCCAAGGGAGTGCTGGGGACAGGGAAGCCACTCCATGGCAGGAGGTCATAGGTACTCACGTTGTGCTATTGTTCTCCCCCAAGCGCTGGTAGGAGCCGGAGGAGAAGCCACCCAGGCCTTCAGATGGGCTCTCCTCGGGGCTCCCATCGGTGGAACTGTAGTCATGATAGTCTTCATCCCGAAGTCTCTGGGTGGACATGGTAGCTGGGGGGACAGAGACAGTGCTAAGATCTCCAGTAGCTGGGGCCTTCAGCTCCAGTTGTGGAGTGGGCTCAGAAACAGAGGCAGACATTGTCACAGCTCCCAGTGAAGGATGCACTATGGAATGAGTCTGACTAGAGAGCCCAGTACCAACCAAGGAGTATGCAAGGGGCACAAAGTCCACAGGGCAGGCTGGGCCTGCCAGGCCTCTGCCTCCCCACCTTCCCACACAGTGCGCTGCTCATAAATTTCTGAATTCATCCCAGGGCACCTGGGCAACGCACATGTGAAAGGCAACGCTGGGCAGGGCACGGGAACGCAAGCGTGCACTTTCAGGAAGACTTCCCTGGTCTTCTGGTTAAGTTCACCCCACCTTCCTCTGAGCTTATCTCTTGGACCTCAAACAGTAGTTAAACCTCACACCTTTCCCAAGAATGACCTCTCAGGAGACCTGAACCTGGATGTTTCTTGAGGTGTCCTGTTCGTCCTCTGCCTTCAGCAGAGAGTGTGGTTACAGTCATGAAATCCCCTCTGGGTCACCCAAATCTGCTCCAACTCTACAGGGTCCCAGACCATAAACAAGCCCCTCCTTCCCACCAGGAGCTCAGTCCATCTCCTAGTCTCTGGAAGCCGACCTACAATCACCTGGAAAGAGAGTCTTCAATGGAGGTCTAGATCAGGTTGGCCTGCGGGCATGTCTATGGGGGAACTGTCTTAAGTCAACTGATGTGGGAAGACGCCATCTGCTATGGGCAACACCATCCCCTAGAAAGGTCAAGCTGAGCACAGACAAGCAAGTGAGCATGTCTGTATTCGTTTCTTTCTGCTCCTGACTGTGGGTACAGTTAACTGCTTCAAGTTTCCGCCATCTTGACTTCCCTGAAATTGTGATAAACCCTTTTCTCCTCTAAGCTTGGTTGCATCAGGGTCCTTCATCACAGCAAATGGGCTAGGGTGGAGTGATCAGGAAGGCTCACATCTTCACCTTCACCCTGGGCCTTTTTTTTTTTTTGGCCACGAACCTGAGTGCTGGAATATGGTGGCTGAGCACAGCTCAGAGGAAGAAGCGTGGGAGCAGGAGAGACGATGAGCTACCCTATCTTTGTCTCAGTGGCTCCTCTCCACAATGTTCTACTGGGGTTCAGAAAATTGATATCCCAAAGTACAGTACAAAGTATGAGGTACAGCTCTGACAGGCCCAGCACTTTGAACTAAAGGAGACCCGGAGGCTGCAGAAACTGCCAACAGCAGAGTCTGCTGACCCTCTCCTGTCGAGTGCCTCCCTCCCAACCTTCGTCTCTGAAGTCTTAGACACCAGAATTCTTCCCTAATCTGCAAAGCATCCACAAAACCTAAAATGGCCATACATGGAAGGAAGAAAAGTTCCAGAGGCAGGAAGGATCTGAGTGGCTGGACTGGCGGGAGTAAGTAGCTCAGTCAGCCTCCATCACCACACACTCTGCGACCTGCCTTTCCACACAGCTGCCCACACTGAAACAAATTAGCTCACAGGGGCACCATTCCCCCTGGGTCCTTCCATATTGTCCCCTGAAGACTCCCATGTCACATAAAATGTGGACTAAATAAAGACTTACACCCCCATTAATGAGTGTTGATGGTGACCTTGTGATGGGGAGGATGGATGGTGTCACACCTTTCCAGCCCTATGCCTTCTCTTAAATTTTTATAGATTGGCTCATGTTTAAAAGATGGTAAAAGAACTAACCCTCCCTGCTGTGCACTGCTGAGGGATGGTGAGGCTGGGTAAGAGAAGAGGGCAGGGCTTCTCTCGGCTAGGTGAAAGGTGTGCAGGCCCCCAGAATCTTAGCCCTTTGCTAAGGAGCCATCCCAGGTCACTTCAAGTCCCTCATTGCATAGACGAAGAATCTCCCCACAAAGATGGAGGGACTTGTCCTGTGAAACAGTAAGTAGCAAGGCAGCCTGGCAGCCTGTTGGTCTAGAAATGTCTATTGACCACAGTGTCAGGTGCTGTGGGAACTAAATGGAAGAGAGTCAACTTCCTATCCTTCAAGAATTTTCGGTCAAATAAAACCCGCCCCTTCTCCATCCCCTCAGCATGCAGACACCAGCCTGCCTCTGAGATGCTACCTCAGGTTTGAGAAGCCAGCTTTCCAACTGCCACCCTAACACCGGCTGCCAGAGGATGGCTCTCTGCCCAGGGCTCCCTTCTGGGGATGCCTGAAAACCAGCCTTGCCCCCAGCACAAGAGTGCTCCAGGGAAAGTCACAGCATCTTCCACCAACTTCAAGTCAGGAAAGGGGCTGTGAAGCCTCACAAGGGAAATACATAGTGGAAATTCAGTATAAGGCCTGTCTTAATCCACTTTCTGTTGCTGTAACAAACTATCTGAGGCTAGGGAATTTATTAAGAAATGAACTCACAGGGGCTGGAGAGATGGCTCAGAGGTTAAGAGCACTGGCTGGTCTTCCAGAGGACCTAGGTTCAATTCCCAGAATCCACATGGCAGCTCACAACTCCAGGGAATCTGATATCCTCACACAGACATGTAGTCAAAACACTAATGTACATGAAATAAAAATAAATAAAATTTTAAGAATGAGCTCACAGTTCTGAGGGTTCAAGTATCTGCTAGGCTTCCCTCAAGGGTCTCACATTGCCTTAGGCATGGCAGAAAAACAGAAAACCAGTGGGCAAGTGAAGGCACAAGAGTGAGGGGAGGTCACAAGATGAGATAGGACCAACGGAGAGAAGCCATGCTCACTTCCTAGCAGCCACTAACCCACTCACTCACTCACTGGGCAATTACATTAATGCCTCCATGAGAGTAGCAGCCCATGGGACTCTTAAAGACCCCATTATTTCTCAACACCATCACCTTGGGGACCAAGCCTCAACATGACTTTTGGTGTAGATGACGCACATTCAATCCATACAGCGCCTGCAAGCCCGGGGGGGGGGGGGGGCTCCCTGCTCCACTGCCACAGCCTCCCACTGAGAGTCTGAGGTTCCCACTGACTTGTGTGATGTGGAGATTCAAGCACATCTGGGAAAATAAACTCACAAGTGGACCAGGAAAAAAAAAAACTGCCAAGTACATGGATGTAGAAAGCTGAAAACCTCTGCCACTGAAGCGAAAGCTAGTAAGCTGATGTGCAAGCCAAGGGGCCTGGGTGTGAAGTTGGCCTCTGTCACCAATTCGCTTGGTAAAATGCTGAACAATTTTCTTTCCTATGTCCTTAGACTGCAAATGTATAAAGCAAAGTGGGAAGTGCAGACTGGGGCACCTCTGTAGTTTTAATCAAAGGATGTAATTACTTATGTGAACATCAGCTCATTTCTAGTCTCTTCCAACACACTGAGCGCATCTACAGAGGACCTTGTATGTGAACTGTGAATGTCACTGAAGGGCAGATGAAGGAGGAGTCCCCAACCCCTTCTCACTCACCACAAAACCAGTATGGCCAGGGCATGGTGGCACACACCTATAATCCCAGCAGTCAGGACTCTGAGGAAATAGCAATACAAGTTCAAGCCCTGGGCAATAAAGTAAGACCCTGTCTCAAAAATCTAACTAAGCCAGATGTGGTGACACAAGCCTAGGAGCCCAGCACTTTCAAAGCAAAGGCAGGTGGATCTCAGCGAGCTCAAGGCTACAAAGAGCTCATGAGAAAAAAAAAAAAAAAAGTTAAATAAAATGTAAAAATAAAATGCATTAAGATTTTAAAGAAACTGCCATGAACGGACTCTCAGTTTATCCCTGACACTGTACAGAGTCATATGGAAAAGCCGCAGCAGGCTGAAGCTAAAGCAGCTGCTCGAAAATAAACTGAAATCTCTAGATCTAAGGTCTAATGCGTGGTTACTGATACAGGAGCTGTGGCTTAGCAACTGTGTGCATATTGATAATGGATGGGGGATGCCATTTATAGTGGCTGGTTAATGATAAACTTAAAATACATCAATAACATAGAAACACATGCTAAAGAGTTGATGGTGATTGCAGGCTGCACCAGCGAGGGGAAGAAGCAGGCAGAGAGTAGCATGTGGCTCAGGCATGCGTTGCAGTGTGTTCCAGGCAATGCCCTGAAAGGATCGTGAAATTATAACACACTGTAAACCTAGGGCTCAAGGCCAGGACCACAAAAGGGCTAGAAATCTGATAAATAAGGAGGTAAGGAGAACATCCAACCTTGTGACTAGTGCTATAAAATCTGTTTTGTTTTGGCTTGTTTTTGTTTTTGTATTTATGATGGGAATCAAACCCATGCAATTATAGGCTAGGACATGCTCTCCCACTGGGCTATAGCACCAGCTCCTCTCTTATGCGCATTTTTGTTGTTGCTGAGACAAAGTTTTGTCCTTGAACTCACTCTTGAGATCTTCTGGCCTCGGCTCCCCAAGTAGCTGGGATTACAGGCCTACACTCCCAAGAGGCCTACACTCCCAAGCCGGGCCACAGAAACTGTCTTTAAGGGCTGCCACATAGATTAGACTTGTTCTTTGGGACCTTAAAGATCCGTCGGAGCTGAGACTGACAGATGGAAAGAAGGGAGGAAAGAAGAAGGGAGGGGTTTGCTTGTTACAGGAAGAACCTACTATTATGTTTGCACAGTAGTCCGAACAAATAAGATCATTCTGGGAGAAGCCATGTTCCCCGGGGCTTGGTCCCATCTCAAGTATCTCATAAGCCAGGTGTGGGAGAACAGGCCTGCAATTAAGCACTCAGGATGTGGGGACAAGAAGGATCACAAGTTCAAGGTCATCCAAGGCTGGTCTGGGCTACAGGAGATCCTGTTTCAGAGACAGTGAAAAGGAAGGAAAGGGGCGGAGAGAGAGATTCCATCTCTGGCAAGGCTAGGCAGCAGTCCATTCTCAGTCGGTACTTTGAGGAAAGTGGACACAGCTACTTCATTCTACACGGGGCTTCCTCTACCTCTTCCTCCTCCCCTGCTATGCCACCCTCCCCGTGGGCTCCCTTGAGGAAGCCTGGCATCTACACTAACTAGTGCAACTGCCAACTC